GTAGCAACTTACGCCAACAGATAAATAATTAAGATTTCCATAGTGAATAGCGTTCTTAATTTTAAAAAGTGTATTATCAATACCTTCCGAGACTTCACCCTCACGGGATCAATTTGCGCCACGACGTGATGGAATCAGGCACTCGTAAAATTTTGGGCATTTGGAGTTATTGATATCATCTTAAAGCTTGGTGTTGTTTTTTTCTGTCGATGAAAAATTTGCCCATCTATCTTGAATAGAAGTTGAGAAATTCACAAAGGAAGGAGATGGGGGGTGCTTGATTTCAGAGGTAAAATTTAACTCCAAAATGTCCATCAAAGTTGTGTGATTTTCAAAGCTTGATAGCTCTTGGAAACTGCAAATTTACATTTTATTTTTGCTTTTGGTCAACTTTTCAGTAAAACCCTAAAATATATGAGTTTTTAAATGGACATTACATGTGTTTAGTCAATTAGAAAAATATTACCAAACGGCAATAAAAAATGCATTATTTCTTTGTTTTCATTATTTTGACGAACGCCTGATTCTACCACGATACCTCACATTTAGTTCCACCTTCGAAATCAGACTAAATTTCGGTGTCCCCAGTAGATGGTTAATTTTCAGCTTGAAGAAAAAAAAAGCTCACCACGCATCAAAATTGAAACTTACTAATGAAATACTCAATCCACTACTCCAAGATTGCATTCAGTCTATTCATTTTCCCTGTGTTAGCTCAACATATATTTTACAGCATTTGCAACTCAGTTAGATCACATAAGTGGTGTAGATTAGAGCTTCTATCGGTTAGTATCATACACAAAAAGGAGAGATAAGGACGACAGATGCTTGATATCAAAGCAGGAACAAACTGCACTAAAGCTCCCACCAACTGGCCACTCTCTCTCTCTCTCTCTCTCTCTCTCTCTCTCTCTCTCTCTCTCTCTCTCTCTCTCTTTCCACTCACCCTCTCTGCACTCATTCAGCCTCTCAACAATCTCTCTGACTGCTCTAGACTGTCTCTCAAGGCAACAGATCCTGACACTGAGGAGAGCAGAGCTGAGAGCTGCACCAGTTTCCCATCTGACAGTTTGTTCTGCAGACATTTGTCAGGTCGGGCCTCACGCCTCTGCACCGCATTAGTCTGTCATAGGCACTTTCCGGAGCCGCCTGGGTAGCCTGTGGATCGTTGTGGGAAGATCCCTGGAAGGGAATGTACCCTGGTCTGACGTTGTTGTTGTTGTTGTTGTTGTTGTTGTTGTTGTTGTTGTTGTTGTTGTTGTTCATGGCCAACCATGGGTTTACGGGGTTCCTACCTGCAAACAGCAGAGAGAAAAACCCCCCAGTTATAATGTTGTATGTAGCGCCTTAGTTGCACGACTCCAGCGTGCGTGCAAACTGGTATTGACTTAAATCATCAATGATTTATTTATACAGGCATCAGCCATCCATGTCCAGGTGCTGTTTTAGACACTTTTTCCTGTCTGCGGATTCATATTGTGCAAATTGTCTAGGTTAGAATAATGTTGTTTTAGTATTAATGTGCTCATAATAATGTCTAAAAGGCTTGTGAACAAACGGTAATTAAATTTGTCTGTATTGAGTTCACAACTCGACGTCCTATGAAGTTACATGTTTACAGGAAAACTCTCAAAGGAAGCCAGGTGACGTCGGTAGCCTAGTGGTTAGGCTACCCGACTCAAAATCATGAGATTGCGGGTTCGGGGGTTCGAGCCATAGCCCGGTCCGACGCTGTGTCCTTGGGAAAGGCACTTTACACGAACTTCCCATTTGGCTGGGTCCTATCGGAGACGGACGTAAAACTTGGACGTCCTGCTCCTTAAATAACATAATAGTGTTAATAGGGACGTTTTTTTTAAAGGAAGCCAATGTTATGTTGAGGCGATGTTCCCCTGGAGATCACCACAAGAACCACAGCTAGGGGCTGCATCCTTCCTTGCACAGTGTGGAAGACAAAACAAGCTTAAACTTTTCAGCTGTTCGAGTCTCCCGCCACCCAATCTCCCTTCGCCGTACCTCCATGTTGAGCCGACTGGGCGTACGTGTCTCCGCCATGGCTGGACGACCAGGTACCGGAAATGGAAATGTCTGCGCAGCCGTAGAACTGCTCCTGGTGGCCACAGCCAACACAACAGTCGTTCTGTCCACGACAGCCCCACGAGTTGCCTGGCGAGACGACACAAAGGACAATGAACGTAAATATGTCTCAACACCTGAAAACAAAACTTCTGTTGGTTTGTTTTAGCAAGGTTTTACGGCGCTCGCAACTGCAAAAGGCCATATTATGAGCGCCAAGGGGTGGATGTCAACGGAGAAGTCCAAACGGGGAATCAGGCTTACTCTGCTCACCTCTCTAGCCTCAACAGCACACAGTCTTCTTCGACTATCAAGACACCCCGGAAATAGCAGTTCAAAAAAGTGACGAACAAACAAAAAAAGTAGAGGAAAAATGACGATAGTGAGGATGAGGAAAGAAAAAGCAGCTGTTCCTCCAACGATGTTCCGCACAGTATGAGCATGACATTGATAAATCAACCAATTTACATTTCTACTGTGTTTAAGAACACGTTAATATCCCCCCTTTGGGAATGGCCAAAAGACCCTTCAGTCAGCAGCAATGCCCTGGTGTTTGTGTGTGTGTGGTTGGGGTTGGGGGGGGGGGTGGACCAAAACTTCTACTCTTCGATGAGACAATAGAGCTTCGTAATACAACCCCAAACTTAAAAGGCGCAATCTGTAAAAACCTGTGTAGGTGATGTATGTCATTGTTCAGTTCTCCTACCACGAAATGTGCTGGGGCCTATTCCCAAGAGGGGATCTTATTTACGACCGTATACGAGTCTTGTCAGCTGGACAGTTTTCTCTCGCTCAGCGCAGGGTATATTTAACACACAGGGTAAGGTTAAAGCACCTTGGTTTACAGCTGATCTTAATTGTGTCGATGTTGGAGTAGAATATATTTGAAATCAATCATTTTCCAAACGAGGATAAAATATCAGCTCACAGAACACCCTGGAATGATAAACAGGAACGAAAATCGAGTCAGTTCGCCACGCAAGAATCACAAACGAGCATCCATGTTTTATAAATATTTTACTAGACATTTTTACTCGAATAAAGAAGGAAGGTTGTTTGCACCTTGGCTAAAATACCATAATTTATGAC